ATAAAAAAGTGATTTTTTGGACTTACCTAAGACTGTTGATAATTTCACATTAAAGCGTATTAATGTTTGAGAAATTCCCTTACGGTTCTGTTGTTGAACTTTCGCATTTTGTAAATTATAATCCTATCAGATCCCTCAAAGGCATTTCACTCGGTCTTTCCTGTATCGTATTTTCATTTCACCCGTAGTCTTCACTTCCTCCTCGTAGTGCCTTCTTTTCTTATCTCCAGACTGGATTCTTTCCCGTTTCTATAGAAACGCTCTGCGTTGACGCGAGACCAGAGCTCTGGGGACTACTTTTTCCATACTCGCCCGATAAGGAAGAACACTGCATTTCTTATCGTATTTTTTTCATAAATAATGTTTTTGTACGTGTTTTTCTCTTATCTGCGTTATCGTAATATACGTAGTAAAATTTATAATGCATAATCAAAGTTTTATGTCGGCCTTTTTATTACTTTCAGGATGTGTGCTAAACCAATATTTTTATACAGGGCCCAAAAATTGTTTAAATAGTACATAATCAAATAACAAAATCTTGTGACATGCATCTTTATTGGATATATATATCCTATAGGGTGTTTCATTTAAAAGGACTACTTTTTGTTTTTCACCGAAACTCCAAAATATTGTTCAAAACAAAAAAAAAATTTGATTCTAAGTTATAAGGCGCCGTTTGTGCCATACCTGATTTATAAAATATATAATAATTTGTAAAAATATAAATATTTTGTTTAAAATATAAATAATTTGTTTAATAGTATATTATGTATCAAGTTTGATAAACGCCATTTTATACACGAATTTAATGAGTGTATAGAAAAGTTTATAAACGAGGTGCATACTATACTTTTTCTACGACAAATACTTATTATTATCTTAAAATGATTTAAATCAAAAATTTGTATAGAACGCCATCTATGAAACAATAGAGGAATCTGTGTGTCACCGTCAAATGTCACATTTTTATATAGGTTATAAATCGAAATGTATTTCTTGAAAATTGACAGTTTTTTAGTTAAAGTAAAGAAAATGTTTTAGGAGCACTTTACAGTGGAGTCCGAGCCCGAATTTAAGTTATAGTTTACTGCCGGCGAAATTAAAAGGTCAGTTTAAAATGTTTTGTTAAGACAATCCATTCTCTTTGTATGTTTAAAAATATGTGAAAAAAAATACTTTCAGAGCTAATACCATCAAGGTGAATCAAGTAAGAGAAAAATTCTTGTTCTCTCTTTTAAAAAGCGTTAAATTTAAAAAAACAGTGATTGAAAATTCATGTTTTTTAAATGGGTAAAATTTAAAATGAAAAAGGAAGTACTTGGAATAAAAATGAAGGGCTCAAACTTTAAGGGAATTTATTTTTCGAAGTTTGAACAATATTTTGGAGTTTCGGTGAAAAACAAAAAATAGTCGTTTTAAATGAAACACCCTAATATTTAATCTATATAAATTTTACTAGGACCAATTGAGGGGCTCGGTGCAAGGAACCGGGTATCTCCATATTCGGAAAATGTTCAGGAGAAAAGAAAAACCTTGTTAAAAATTATTTTGCACAGTATAATTTCTGCGGTATCTCCTGTATCTGATATATTTAGTTAACGCTAACGTGGATCTACACGGTTTGTGCACCGAATGATGCGGACTACTGAAGGGTTTATCTTCATATACCTAACTCAATTTAGAAAAAATATGAAGATACACGGTTCTTGCACCGAGCCCCTCAATTGTCATAGTGAAAAAGCAACCATATATGGGTCACTTTTGACCAATTCGTTTTAATAGAGCATATATTCCACAAGGACCCACAACAAAACTTGACTAATTATGACGCATTTCGAATAATGCAAATTAAATTTTCCAATATTACAATTATCCAACATTTGATTGCCCAGTAGCACAATTTGATTTGACTTTAATTGTTTAATTTAATGTTTAATTAGAGAAAAACTACCGAAAGTAATATAAAGGAATGGCCTTAATTTCCAATTACCATTTTCAAGTAAAATCTTCTTGCATACAGAGTATCCCAAATAACTTTGAAAGCTTCGGGAAACTGTAAGTTAGCAGCGGACCAATAAAACACTCAGCATGCAAACTCAGTAGAAACGTCAGCAAAACTTATTTGCCCGGTTTTAAGCGTGGAAACAGTAAAGTAATTTCGCTATATTGATGGTACTAGATTAATATTAATGGTTTCCAAAATGAAATTCCACACGAAGTACAATTTGCAATATGGCGTCGTTTAAAGGGTTTTTAATTGTTGTTTTATTACTCTTTTGGACTTGATGTTACATTTTGCATTTTCACTTCCCCTTTCACTCAATCTTTGTTTCTATATTGCATACAATATGGTGGAAATAAAACTATAGAAATTAAATTAAAAATAATTTATTTATTTGGAAACTTCGACACTCAGACACACCTCCGACATATAAACACCATAAGATGTCAACAATGAGCAATATTATACAAATTATATTTATATAAATGCATTTGATGCGTCCCAAATTGAATTTGAAACGCAATGACAGTCTTCAAAATATATTATATTAAATTCTATACAAAGGATATTACATATTTCTTAATAAAAATACCTAACCTGAACAACATTTGGTCGAGGCAGTGGGCTTCTAGGAAATCTTTTTTTAATAATTTTCGAATAAGTATATACAGGATGTCTGGGTTTTTAGGTACGCGTTTTGGAACGGCGGCAGTTTGCAAAAATAAACAGTCTTTAATCGCATACCTTGATTACGTCATCAAGTCATTGTCCCTAAGTCACTGACATGCAATGAAACGAGCGCTGAATCACGTGTGCGTTGCACACTACACCACCGGGCTGAAGAACATCACAAAGTCGCCCTGTCCTCGTTGACCTGTCACTTTAGGCATCTATCAATAGTTTACATTGGATATTGTTTTGTTTATAGCTGTTTTATTGTTTAAAAAAAATAGTTAAAGTTTCTATGACAGATGTAAACATGGTAAAACACTCATATGAGTGCAAATATTTTCCCAACTATTGCTCGGAGGTCAAAGTATCATAAATGAAAATGTAGATCCTTCAAATGTTTACAAAAAAATTATAAATTTACAATTTAAAAAATAATAAATTTATACTTATTATAAAATGGTATATATTTTACTTAAAATAGTCGCAAAATTTCATCTTTAACTTGGGCAAGAATTTTTATCAGAATAAGCAAAAAATTAAATTGATGTTTTTAGAAATTATGGAATTATTTTTCTTATAAGTAAGGATCATATTTATAAAAACGTGTAATATTTAAAAATATCAGTAGGTATACGAATTTGACGATAGATTGTATTAAAATCGCATTTTACCCAATTTAATTAAAAACGATGAAATTTATATGTAGGTACCTATGCGGGGTGTTAAAAAAACTACCTATCGTTTTTTCAACATGAAAATTCAGTTAATTTTAATTGGTTCCTCATTGAATTTTAAAAAAATCCATTTTTTTTCATTTCCAACAACCTATAGGCTGCATATATGCAGCCATTTTTTCTCATATAACTGAATCCTTTACAAGGATTAAATTCACTGAAATTTTTACAATAGGTATTATAATATTAATTTTTTGGCGATAGGTTAGAAAATTTAATAGCCTTTTTGTATTACAATAAATTCCCTACAAAATTATACAAAATCATTAATGGTTAAGAAGTTAAATACACTTTAAATCGTAATTTTATGATTTTTTAATTATAATGACTGTAACCTACGAGGTTATGTTTTAGTGAATAAAACTTTATTTTAGAGACTTTTCAAAGAGAAGGTTGATATTGCCTTTTATACATCGTCACCCTAATATAACAAGGTTGTATGTTAAAAAACGAAAAATTTAAGTCTATGTTTCTACAGCGTTAAAAAACGAAAAATTTAAGTCCATGTTTCTAGAGCATTATACGTGGCCTACGCTTCACATACCACTTAAAAATAATTCTATAGAATGTATATTCTATGTATACATATACAGGGTGTCCCAAAAGTCAACGATATCCTTTGAAGGACTAATAGGTCAGCTCATGACTAATCAGATTATCAAAACATGACCTTAGTAAAAAATCATTAGATAGTTTTTAAGATATTGGTATTTTTATGAATTTTGTGAAACTTGACACATAAAATCAGTTTTTTTAGTGGCACAACTACAACATTCTATATTCTTAGATTATATTTTATTTTGCGTAACCCTGAATAGGACTGTTATTAATTACAAATCAAAATTAAATTAATAGTAGATTTTGTAGCTGTGGCACTCGAAAAACTGATCTAAGTTTTACAAAATTCATAAAAATGACTGTATCTCAAAAACTAACGATTTTTTACTAAGGTCTTATTTTGATTTTTTGCTTAGTCATGAGTTGGTCTATCAGTCCTCCGAAGAATATCGTTGACTTTTGGGACACCCTGTATATATATATAGTTATTTTCAAGTTGTATGTCAAGGGTGGATTACATAAAACCTTGTTATATTATTAGGGTGACGACATATAGCACATTTAAGGTTAGGTATGTTTTCTTAAAAATAAGACTTGACAAGCATAGGTAATACCTATTAGGTATAACTTTTTAACTATTAATGGCACAATAAATTTGTTTAAAAAAGTTGTGTATGAAAATACACTAAAAAATTGCTCTTAAACTTTCTGATCTGATTTTAAATTAATCTGGGTTTTTAACTGAATTTTTATTTTGACATAATTTTCATGTGAGAGTAAAAAAGATTATTTTTTTCTGTCATCAATGACAAAAAAATAATTGCACAAAACGAGGATAAACTGACATTCTATATAAAAATTAAGGTATTTTTTGTCTAAAAACGCATCTTTTCCAAACGACACGTTACAAAATACACGATTATAAAAATGTTCCACCCTGTATAGATCAAAACTCACGATAAAATATAACTATAAACAAAACAAATATCCAAAGCTAACTTTTGAACAAATAAAATTTAGTGACTGGGCTATCGGTCACAACACTAAATTAATAATTTTTTGTGTACTTTAACATGGATTTTTGTTTTCATCGCGCGTCCATGCTGGACTCGGATTGTGAACCGTGATCCGAAGAACTGCTGCTAGAAATAGTCTCCGTGGTTTTAATTTTTGGCTTATATTCAGTAATCGTCACTGTAACACTGTTCACAGTTACTTCCCTGGTTTGCGCCGTGCTCCTGTCTACGTTCTTCAGTCGTGGCGGATGTCTGCGTTTTTTCATTGATTTCTTGTCTTTCTTTTCCTTCTTTTGATTACTGGTAGCAGGCAGGAACTGACTTGCTACCTGTTGGGCCGCTAGCTGCGGATTTATTCGAGGTTTACGGGTCGATGTTCCCTTGCGAACGTCACACATCAGGCATTTAAATGCTTCTGCCGTGTTTCTAAACGTACACACACTGCAATCCCAGAAATTATCTTCCAACACTTTTGCTTGACGTTTAGCTCTTCGAATTGGACTTTTTTTATGATCCATTATGGCTATGAACACTAAAAAAACTATTATTTTGACGTTATATGACAACTACAGTAAACGAACGACGCCATCTTTACTTTCTGAGCTTCGTGCGCATGAACCACGATCGCGGTGGCAGCACCACGCACTGTTGCCACATTACCATTGTTTATTCTCCAATATTTTTGACAAAAAACCCTATTTTATATTTTCCTTAGAAACAATCTATTATTATCATTTGATTTATTTACTGTTATCTAATTGAACTCATCTTTTTAATTTTAAGCCCTATTAAAAAAGACAAGTACATTTAAAAAATAAATAAATACAAAAAAAACATTTTTTAAATTTAAAAGAAATAAAACAACCAACTTTTTTAAAACTTATTATTTACTTATGTACATATATAACTCATGTATAAGTTTTATAATATTTATCTAACCTGGATCTGGGAAATTTACTTGGATCTGACAACCCTGGCAGCAGACTTGGCTTCGCCCATCTCTTTTTAACACGTTTACGTCACCTAGGTCTGCCTTACTCTAAAAATTAAAAAGTCCACTATAGCATTATTCCATTTATTCAATGAAACAATAATAACAATAATTACTTATTACGTTTTAAACGAAATTTGTGTTTTTATCGGATCTTATTGGTAGTTACATTAAATACTAAATTATAAGTTAATGCCCTTTAAATGCATAAGCATAACTTAATCATATTGTTATTAAAATAAAATCATACTCTTGTTACTTACAGTAAAAACATTATGTTTTTACTGTATACAGTATAGAGTATGATTTAAATCATATAATAAATTTATTATATGATTTTGTTTTAAACATTGTCACTTTCTAATTATAATAATTAGGTATTCTAATTATAATAATTATTATTAGTGACTATAGTCTATGTAGGTAAGTTTGGTATCTTAAGGCGGAAACTTATAAAGTAGCTTTTTGACTATTATAGTATAATACTACTTTACACAGATCCACTCTGTGATGCAAAGAAGATGTCACATCGCTCAACAATAAACTAATATATAGGTATTCCCAAAATTTTCCGAAACATAGAATAAAAATTTACCTGAAATTGTCGGCGTTATTTTATTGCAAGAGAGCTTATTACAGTCATTGTAGTAAATAAAATATAATAAAACCTTTTTAAAGTGAGTTCCTTTTTTTGTTACAGATTTACAGTGTCCCCAAATCGATCTAGATATAGCTATAGCTACAGCTATAAGTGACGAATATCTAATTGTACGGAATTTTTTGAATTCTCTATTTTTTGTTTTATTGTTGCTTTAAGTTTCTATTGCGTTTTTTATTTGTCAAAAGTAAACATAGGAATATTTATACCATGTTACTATTATTTCAATGTTTTTTTCATGCATAACTTGACAGAATAACTTTTTGTAAATAGTTATTATTATTATTTTTTAATTTGGCTCCAAAATCGTTTATTGTTAACATTTTTCAATAAAATTTACTATAGGGTTGTTTTGAGGGGTGGTGAATTCAGCACCGTGCAGAGATGAATTCTTAAAAACTGACATAGTAAGACTTGTATTTTGTAAAAATATGGCGTTTTTTGCTAAAAAAATACAGTTTATCACACTGTTAAGTCTTAAGACAATTTGTTTAAATTAAAGGATATAAAATTTATTACGTTTTAGAAACCAAAAGTTTTTTTATTATAAAAATGCAAACATGATTGTTTTTAAACTAAAGTTTTGATTTTTTGTATAAAAAATAAAAGAAAATAATGTTACCACCTAATATTAAAAATAGTAGAAAATAAATATAAGTTTTTTAATTTTTAATTAAGTATTTTACGTTCTAAGGTACCAGATAACTGGAAATGTCCACATTAGGTGATATCAAGAGTTCTATCTACAATGTCGATATTTAGCGTTAAGTGGTGGTCATTCAAAATGACTCATTCAGCTATTTGTGAAATTTAAAATAATCAATAAAAATTAAATTTTTTAAATAAAAATACGACAAAGGAGTGTTTATTAAGACAATACAAAATATATATTAACTAAAGTACTATGCATACATAAAACGCTTTTTCAACCAAAACATTTTATTATTAAGTAATAGGGCGGATTCCCAAGCAGCATTTTTGGTTCCAAAAACCATTACCAAAGTGGTGATAACTTTAAATTAGTTAAGTATACTAAACAGCTACTTTAATTTTTACTTAAAAGTAATTCTAACTTTTAAATAGCAATATTTTGTAACAGAAACTTCATTCTTTTCTTAAATGGTTACTATAAAGTAAAGGGTCTTATAAGTAAAAAAAACTTTTAAGTAAATTTCGGTTGCTACCTAAAAATTACATTAATTATTTTTACTTTGTAATCCCCTTGCAAGTTAAAAACTCGAAACTAGAACATGAGTTAAAACTACAAAGTTAATAACTTAAAAGTTATTATTTTAGTATTTGGAACATTTATGGTACTAACCAAAACTACCGTAAAGTAAATTAAGGTGGAAAAAAACTTTAAATTAGCGAAAACTACTTCAAAGGAAAATGCTTCTTATCGGCCATAACTGTACAGTAAAAAATATATACTACAGTACAACTTGGTAATGTAAATAATAAATTATTTTAATTGTTTCTAAATGGTTGTTTACTTTTTAATAAATAGTAATTTTGTTGATAATAGACGGTATTAATAATTAAATAAAAAATTAATAATAAATATTAAGATTTTTTTATTTATAAACATTATTAAATAAATAATTTGTTTATACTTAAATATTGATGAAGCGCATTTATTTTACAAAAACTAAATTCATATGTTCAACACTCAACATTCTGGAAGTTATAAACTACCAGTACCTACATATTTAATAAACGACGACATTGAAAAGCCAAGTCCCTAGTGGTTCCATTTAAAAAGGAGGGATAGTATAATCTAATATAAGTTTGACAAAGACAGTTAATATAGAAGTAAAAACAAATAAAAGTAATTATAACGCTCTAGCGATATTGAAACGTTCTAGTAACGTAGCAGCTACGTTCCAAATAGTAGCAGGGTTTATAGCTAGTGAAATATTTGTTACCTTTTTGGAACTCAATAATTGTTCCCCACTTTAGTCGTAACTTAGTAATAAAAGATAATATAAAGAGACCGGCGACTGTCGCAAAACACTTTAAAGTTTCTTCAATGGTCCCATATACGTAACAAATACTTAAATTGTTGCTTGGGATATTATGTAAAAGTATGTCATTACAAGTGAAAAATGCAGTAAAATATAATTAATATTTATGGGTCATTCTACCAAATATTTTTTTGTGTGACCCTTGCGGATTTTTTTTTAATTTTATGGAGTTTGTTCTCTACACTGTTAATAAAAAATTAGATTTGTTTACATGAGTTTGTTAATTTTATGTTCTAAAATTTTAACATACCTTTTTGTATAAAACCAGGGTTTGTAATTATTTTAACAATGGAAAATATTTTACCCAAAGTTTTGTAAAGGTATTACGTAATATTTAATTTTGTAAGCATTTTATTAATTTTCAAAGGTTACAGATTATTTTGTTAATGATTAACTCATTATCTCGTTAAAAAGTACAAGTAGTATCAGGCAGCCAATCAAAACATTTCCCACTGACAATACGCATCAACAAGTTCAACTGACCAGCGTCTGTAACTTATTTTTCTGCTTACTTATTCTAATTCGTAACGTGTTCGTAACAACTGTCCAGAGTGTTTATAATATAATATATATTATGATATATTATTGTTATTCGGATTCCTTATATAGTCGTCGCGACGAATGTTTGAAATTGCGTCATCAATGTCGAATGTCAAAAACCGATTTCTCGACATATGTTTAAAAAACGTGAAATGTTAGGTTAGGTAGTCAGTAGCGTATCATTTTTAAGGGTTCCGCGCGTGTATTGTGGCTGGTAGTATTACAAGTATTACAGAATGAATTATTTCTTCATCGGATGACAGAATAAACACTGGTGTTTAATTTCTAACAAATTTGAGACCGATCTAATCTCAGTTTCTCCCAATTAAATTATTTTTCTATGGTATTTTTTGGAAACGTAGAAAAAGTATAGTCTGAAACACGTTTGGAATTGCATATTCCGCTCTCGTGAAACCGTCAAACTCGCCTTCGGCTCGTGTGACAAACCTTTCACTCGGGAGGAATATGCCGTATTCCAAACTTGTTACAGAATATACTATTATTTATAAAAGGACAGTGGCTCGTAGGTTCTGAAAGAGGGTGGGCACAAAAAACTTACCTACTAATTTTTGTACATAAAGTCCATTCTCCTATTTTTCAGGCGAGAAAAGACGTCAATGACTTTGTTGTCAAAATCTGGGATAGACTGAACGAACTTCTTCTCTATTGATAGGACTGCCAATGCGTTTAGTCGATCTTCTGACATTGTATTTCTTAGGAAAGCTTTAATGCGTTTAAGGGTTGAAAAATTGCGTTCACATTCGGCTGTCGACATGGGCGTTGTACAAATAATGTCCAAGAGTTTATATGTTTCTGGGAAAACTTTTTTTAGGTTATTGTCTGATATAAACACTAAAAGTGGCAAAATACCACCTACATCACACATGTCATCGCGTCCATGAAGTGTTGAAAGTTCCATTTTCAGTTTTACACTTTCCAACATAGGATAAGATTTTACAGTTTCATCAAAATGTTTGTCTGGAAATGCATGCCTATAAATTTTAAAATTTTTAAAATCAAATAATTTTTCTGCACTCAAGTGATCCATAAAATCAAATCGGTCCATAATTTGCCCTAGAATAGTGTCACATACTTCCTTTGCAATAACAGCTCTGGTATCTCCAGCAGACGTTTTCTGTCTTTTTCTAGGTTCTTCATTATCCTGTTCTTGATTGTCATTGTCAGTAAAACTTCTAATTCTAATGATTTGCTGTTGAAATTTTTCAACTGCCTTTTGCATTTGAGCACTTTCAATTTCGAGCATTTGAGTCTGATTAAATAATATTTCAACAAGTGGCATGATAAAATGAAATAGTTTTAACCAGTAAATAAATTCTGGGCAATTCAAATGTTTCAATAAACCACTTGCTTCACTAATAGTAACTGAATCCATTCCA